GGGTTGGATCCAGAGCCTCTGTCACTGCTGAGCCACCGTCTGCGAGCACAGGAATAGCCACAGGCGCCCTGCACATTCTGAGACGTTTGAGGCAGCCAGTCTGTCTGCCTCCTTCTCTCAGAGGAGCTAATTACGGCAATGTTAATGAGGCAGAGGTGCTCGGGCTACCCTGGGTTTTAATGACTCTCCTCCAAAGTTTCTGCACTTTTCCTCGTAAGACAAAAGTGACACGTTTAGAAGGCGCATGTGTGGGATGCCAGGAGCTGGGTGTGCAGCAGCAGGAGCCAGGGCCCGGCTGTCGTGGCTGCTGCCGCGCAGGGCCGGCTGCAGAGCAGCGTGTTGTGCTGGCCCAGCTCCGGCAAGGCCGCAGGAAGGCACGGTCACTGAGGGCAGGTCCCGGGGAGCGGGCCTAGAGCTACTTCCTGGCATGCTGTAGCTGTTGCTCTTACCTGTCTCTGCTTCTCAGCCCAAGCCTCATTTGCTCCATCCCCTGTGGCTTTTTGGCACGGACCCGCCCCCCCTTGGGGGAGGGGTGGGGCAGGCATGTTTTGCATGGCAACTCCAAGGCCAAGTGTGGAGCTTTAGGCCTGGAGACAGGCAAGACGCTCAAACCACCTGGGAAGCGATTAGCACAGAGAGGAGCTGGCACTGCAGAGCGACTGAGCCTGCTGTCTTGTGTGCAAATTGGTTTGGGCTCAGCTGTTACTTAAGTAGCAACTGTTCTCATTTGGTAAGACCATTAATGTTTCACTGCACATTTTCTTTTATCACTGTCAAAGCCTATTGCTCTGTGGCATAAGACAGGATAAAGGATAAGAGCCACTGCAGGTAGGAAGCAGGTGACCTCCTAGCTCTGTAGTGCAAAGGACATGGCTGGGAATTTCTAGGTCTTAGTGGGCCAGGGAGCAGAAGGAGCAAACCAAGAGCCCTGGCCTGGCAGTGCAGCTTGGTGGACAAGAGCTGCTGCTCCAGGAAGACAGAGCCTGCTTGGCACGGGCCGGAATGTGGCACTGGCTGTTTTGTGTGTGGCCAAAGAGTGCCAGAATGCTCTGGAAATGATGAGCAGAGAGGGTGGAACACTTATATAAAATATCTAAATAAATCTTTAATATTTCTAATTGCAAATGTACATAAATTGCACGGCCACATTTCTTTGAACACCAACAACTTTCTCTGTACATTATTACATAGTTTAAAAGGAGCTGAAGGAGATTCAGCAAACACTTTCACTTTGCATTTTTTTTTGTTTTGTTTTTAAACATACTTACAAAAAAAACCCTTTTTCTTCTTTATAAGAGGATATAAAACATAGCAACTGCTTATCAGGAACAAGTATCAGCCTAAGCAGATATACAGAGAGAAAGAGGTATATCTTAAGACACAGTGATGTATGATAAAGGAATACGTGAACATGGAGACTGCACTTTTGGGGTACTTGTAGTTGAATGCAGAACCACATGAATTTACAGCGTTGTCACAGCTCACATAACCTGTGAATAGCTATGCTTGAATGTGGCACCCTTTTCCAAAGCTTGACTGTTTGTGAGTGGTGGATAACATCCTTGGGATTGGATTTGGTTTGGAAAGCCCAAGTTGCATGTTTGCAGGCTTCTGTCAGCCTCCCTCTCTTCACCCCCCAAGGAAAAGAAAAAGGCAACAGTTCTCTTGGTAGGGGACTGGCAGGGCTTGGCTGGGGCTCCGTGCAGGGCAGGTATCACCCGTCCAAGCCTTGTGGCAAAGCTGTCTCCTCTGAAATCGCCCTGAAGAGGCAGAGACTATTTTGGAGCTGGACAGTACCCACTCCCTTGTCCAGTTAAGGCTGTGCAGTCTGACGGGGATTAGAGCCCCATACTGGCCCAGGGTGCGGCCGAGTCATAGGTTGCTTTGAATGCAAAACTTTACAGAAAAGGTTGAACATGACAGTTGTTGCAGGTAAGACGGATATAGTGCTGCACCAGAAACCCCACGGGCAATGTCACAATTGTTCCCTTTGCATTTTCTGCTTAACGCTTTCAAGGCAAAGCTACATCTTACTGAAAGGGCAGTGAGCTTGGTGGAACTGCTGGAGCACCGCTGTCTGTAGGAATGGCCCTCGGGATGGGTCCCCAGGACTACTCCCCTTGCCTTGGTTTTGCTATGGGAATGAGCCCCTTGCACACTTCATTCATGAGCCAGTCCTTATGGCTGTCCTGGTAGAATGAATCACTGAATTAATTCAATCTGGTCATGTGACTAAAAATCCTTTCCTTGTTTGTCACAGAGTAGGCTTTGGTACATTTTTCTATTGCCTCTCATTATGGACATTAATAACAGACAAAACCCTCTGAGTACTCTAAACCTGGGAAGTGATTACTTGCTGATTGCTTTCCTAAGAGAGCCTGTATTGCCTCAGTCAGGTCCACCAAGTCCCCTCTCCCTTTAGGAACATTCATAGTAGCAGAACCTGTGTCCTATATCCTGGAGAAACCTGCCTGACTGTGTGCCAGGCCAGCGGAGATCGTGTCTGCACAGTGCAGTCAGCGATAGAAAAGAGCAAACCCAGAAAACAGAACCAACCGGACTCCAGTGACAATGCAGAGTGGCACAGGACTCTTTGGATGGAGGCAGTATTTGCTTAAATTGGTGCAAAAGGGGCTGGTGAGTACACTGCAGTAATTAGTTGGCATGGGGAAGGATTTCTGTCCCACCAGTCTTTTGGCAGTAAACTTAAACCTTAATAGCTGGCCAAAATGAAGAGACTGACGGTCTGCAGTAGACCTTGGGATACTGTTCAGTCCATCCCCTTTTCAGAAAACTCAGCTGACTTCCGTCCCCTCCCCTTCACCCGGATCACAAAAGGGAGGAGGCAGAAATCATAACCTGGGCCTGGATCCAATTTTGCTAGGTTGAGTCCACCTCTCCAGAACAGCAGTGAGACACAGCCAAATCCTGTCCGAATAAGCAGCACCAGAAGTAAATTACTATATACAACTGTTAGTGAGATAGATACGTTACAGTAAACACTGAAAACATTTACCAAAAAAAAATAAAAAGACTTGTATTAAGATAAAAATTTGAGTGTGTTTTTTTTTTGTTTACACTTTTACGAGTTTGTACTAGACCAGCCTCTTACTGTAGAAAGCGCAAGTATAAAAAGAAAACGGAGCAGATCACAAAACATTACGTATAGTGGTTGCTTTACTCCGGTGCTGCAGGCACCTCTGTGACTTGTTTGTGGTATTGCTGTGCCACATACCAGCTTGGAGGCCATAATCACAGAACCTGGCCACACTGCACTCACACCTGCAGCTCTCACTCACATTCGAGGGCATGCGCACTCCTGTACACAGACACACACACACATTTACAGTTCATAAATAACAGAAACATAAACTGAAATAATAGAGCTGAGCCTAGATCTTAGAACCTATCCCCGGACTTCTGCAGGGGGTTCATATTTAGGTCCAGTTGTTGAGGGTTGTAAGTGAAGCAGTCATGGGGGAAAACAGGCTTTGG